ATTTAAATTTTGCACAATATATGCATGGACTTAAATGAAAAGAATAATCAGGAACAAAAAAAAAAAAATCTGTCGATTTTGTAGCCAACTTTCAATCAGGCTGAAAGGATTTTATTCACTAAGCTGTAAATGGAGAATTTACAAAATAATTGTAAACCTGGGGCCAAAGTAGCCAATCTGGACAAATAGCTCTGTGTGAGAAATGTCCCAGTTTGGTCTTAAATTTGCAATTCTCTTTTCCAATTTCATGGAAAGAAATTAAACATTCCTAAAACCTGTTAAAGGACCACTCTAGGCACCCAGACCACTTCAGCTTAATGAAGTGGTCTGGGTGCCAGGTCCTTCTAGGGTTAACCCATTTTTTCATAATTATAGCAGTTTCAGAGAAACTGCTATAATTATGAATGGGTTAAGCCTTCCCCCTACTCCTCTAGTGGCTGTCTCATTGACAGCCACTAGAGGCGCTTGCGTGCTTCTCACTGTGAAATCACAGTAGAGACGCATCAGCGTCATAAGCATTGTAAATGCTTTCCTATGGACGGGCTGAATGCGCGCGCAGCTGTCGCGCGTGCGCATTCAGCCCGGCGGGGACGGAGGCGGAGAGGAGGAGGAGAGCTCTCCGCCCAGCGCTGGAAAAAGGTAAGTTTTACCCCTTTCCCCCTTCCAGAGCCGGGCGGGAGGGGGTCCCTGAGGGTGGGGGCACCCTCAGGGCACTATAGTGCCAGGAAAACGAGTATGTTTTCCTGGCACTATAGTGGTCCTTTAATAAGCCACAACATGAAAACCACTGACCAGTAAAGTGAATGACATTGGCACCTGTTAAGGGTTGGGATATGTTAGACAGCAAGTGAACTGTCTGTTCTTAAATTTCATATACCGTACAAAAAATGGGCAAGTGAAAAGATCTGAGTGACTAGATGTCTGAGTCAGAACATTTTCAAAAACATCATTTCTTATGGGGTATGCAGTGGTTAGTACCTACCAAAAGTGGTGCAAGGAAGGACAGCCGGTGAACTGACGTCCGGGTTATGGGAGCACAAGGCTTGTTTATGCATGAAAGGATTGAAGGCTAGCCTGTCTGGTCCAATTACACAGAAGAGATACCGTAACTCAGATTGCTGAAAAACATAATGCTGGCCATGATAGAAATGTGTCAGAAGACACAGTGCTTCGCAGTTTGCTGTGTATGGGGATGCATTGCCACACACAAGTAGAATGCCCATGATGACCCCTGTCCTCTGCCAAAAGCTCCTTCAATGTGTACATGAGAATCAGAACTGGACCATGAAACAGTGAAAGAAAGTTGCCTGATCTGATGAATCACGTTTTCTTTTATGTCAAGTGGATGGCCAGGTGCGTCATTTACCTGGTAAAGAGATGGGCAATGTTCTGCTGGGAACCTTTGGGTCCTGGTATTCATGATGAAGTTACTTTGACACGTACCCGTTACCTAGAGAATGTTGCAGACCACATACACCCCTTCATGGGAATCGTGTTCCCTGGTGGCAGTGGCCTCTTTTAGCAGGATAATGCACCCTGCCACACTGCAAACATTGTTCAGGAATGGTTTGAGGAACATGACAAAGAGTTTAAGGTGTTGCTTTAGCCTCCAAATTCTCCTGATCTCAATCTGATTTGAGCATCTGTGGGATGTGCTGGAACAACAAATCTGATCCATGGAGGCATCACTTCGCAACTTGCAGGAGATAAAGTATCTGCTGCTAATGTCTTGGTGCCAGAAACCACAGGACTCATTCAGAGGTCTTGTGGAGTCCATGCCTCGACCTATCAGAGCTGTCTTGGCAGCACTAAGTGGACCTACACAATGTAGAATAATAGACCAATGGTAGCCTCAAAATTTAACCTAAATGACAAAGATTTTTAGATTTTCTGAGGTGTTTTTTTTTTTGTTTGTTTTTTCCAGAATCCGTCTTTTAAGGAACCAATGAAAACCCGGAGTGGATGCTTAGAAAGTCCATTTTATTTGACCAATAATGCAAATGTTGTTCTCTCCTTTTTTTTTCTCACGGAGTTGCTGATTCTAATTAAAAATAATTTTGGGAGAGGGGCAGGCAGGCGCACAGGGCTGTTGTGGTTTTCTAACAGCAAACAATATCGTGAATAATGGTTGGGGGCAGACACTTTTCTGGCATGGAAATGGGTACCAATTTGGGCAAGGGGAAATATATTTACAGGGCTTGAAATAAACTATAAATGATGGTACTGTTTTTCCCAGAATACACCTGGCACTTTTCACTTGGCCAGGAAGCACGGCCAGACAATTGAAACACACACAAGTCTGGTTTTAAATTCTGCAGCTAAATAACGTGTCTTAATTTGTTTAGAGCCCTCGGTGAAGGTAAAGGTTAAGACGAATAGAACAGGGCCCGGACAAAGCGTGCACTGAATGTGATACAAGATGTATGTCTTAAATTATTTATCTTTTTCAGGCTTTGTCAATACCGGTATAATTCAGACCTCAAAAGAGCCCCAGGAATCCACAAGCAGATCAATTCCTGCTGATAAAATCCCTGCGGAATCGCAAAGTTTCAGATAGTGGGAAGGTGGGGGCTGAGAGGAGAAGGGGGGTGCGCTGGAGAATAGGGTTTGCAAATAGATGTTTTTATTTTCTTTTAATAGATTTTCCTTACCCGTGAGGTGAACAAGATGTTCAGAGTAACGTAATTATCGGGACATTGTAGCTGCTAAACCACTGTAAATATTTTGACGTTTAGAATGCAAGCTCCTGGGTTTTAACGCACAGCTAGGCAACCTGTAGTGTGGTCGGCTAAGGTCGCTGGGAGTTGTAACCCAGCAATTATGGAGGGCTGCTGTTTGCTTAGCTTTGTGTAAAGGTATGTTAGAGTGTTCAGAAATTCCATGATGTTTCACAACACGAATACATTTGTACTGCTCCACTGTGTATGTTTTAGGTATGGTGATGAGCGGAACCTCTTATTATTTTATTTATATCGGTACCTTTTACTATTCATTTATTGGGGGATGGGAGATTTAAGGACTCAATTGGACTATGCCTTTATGACATTACTGTAAAGGCAGTCCTGTAAGTTAGTGTCTATTTATCTTTTTGTCCTAAAGGAACTACTCTTAGCCATAGTTCCTCATTACAAGACAAATTGTATGGGGCAATTTCTAACCACTTAGACCTTTTACATGTACTGCTTACTTGTTGTCTTAATTCTGGAAACGTATAGTCCTTGGATTACCTTAATTGTTTGTGTTTATATTTATCTCTTGTACTTGTTGTAACATTCAATAAAAAAATTAACAAAACCCCAAAAGATTAGAGCAATGTAACATTTGAAATTCAAACTAACACAAATCAGTGGGTCCATAGCTGCACAAACTGTCTTGACATCAAAAAGTCTTGGCAGATTTTCAAGGGTGTGTCTGTGTGAAACAAAACTTGTGTGGCAAAACTTACAAAAATATCAGTATCACTATTTTATCCTTTTTGTAATGATACCTCCTCCCTTCCATTCGTCCTGTCTAGGTTGGAGTCCCCCAAGGCTCTGTCCTTGGTCCCCTTCTATTTTCTCTTTATACTGCCTCTATTGGCAAACTGTTTTCCTCTTTTGGATTCCACTACCACCTGTATGCTGATGATACCCAGATATATCTCTCCTCCCTGGACCTCTCTCCTGCCGTCCTGCAACCTGTCACTGCTTGCCTTTCTTCCATCTCTGACTGGATGTCCTCCCGCTTTCTGAAACTCAATCTCTCTAAAACTGAGCTTCTTGTCTTTCCTCCTCCTAATACTGATCCTCCTCTTTCACTCTCCCTTCAAGTTAGTGGTATCCACATCAGTCCATTCTTGCAAGCGCGCTGTCTTGGCATCATACTTGATTCTGGCCTCACATCCAGCATGTTACCAAGTCCTGTAGATTCCATCTTAAAACCTAGCCTGCATCCGCCCCTTTCTTACGCAAGATGCTGCCAATGAGCTTGTCCATGCTCTAGTAATTTCCTGCATGGATTATTGTAACCCTTTCCTAATTGGTCTTTCCAAAAACTGTATTGCCCCGCTACAGTCTGTAATGATGGCTGCCGCCAGACCGATTTTTCCTCTCACACCTCACCCCTCTGTCAGTTCTTACATTGGCTTCCTATATCTTGTGGGAGTCAATTCAGGGAACTAATCCATACCTATAAAGCACTGACCAATTCTAGCTCTTCCTATATCTCTTCCCTGATCCACAGGTATGCCCCTTCTTGGTCTCTCTGCTCTGCCTGTGACCTTCTCCTGTCTGCTGCTCACACCCGTATGGCCAATTCACACTTGCAGAACTTCTCCCGGGCATCTCCCTTCCTATGGAATAGCCTTCCTACCGCCTTCAGACTCTCCCCTAGTCTTCAATAATCTCTTTAAGAAAGCTTATGGTCTCCCAGAATAACCTCTATCTCACATACCAGTCTCTTGCTCTCTCCTAAAGAGCAGCACTCTACTGTCTCCTCCAGCTCTGCTTCACTCCCACCTTATTCGATTGCTATTTCCTGTCTTATTGTGGTTTACACCCCACCTCCTATAGACTGTAAGCTCATTTGAGCAGGGTCCTCTTCAACCTATCATTCCTGTAAGTTTTCTTGTAATTGTCCTATTTATAGTTAAATCCCCCCTCTTATAATATTGTAAAGCGCTACGGAATCCGCATTATTGTATTGAGTACAAAGCTTTAAAAAGCTTGATGCAACCACATATCGTAACATCAGTCTCTTACCAAAGCACAAAATAGACCAATACCTTTGTTCGTGTACTATTGCACTATTTGTAATTTCAGACATACATTCTATAGTCCTAGTACGTCCATAGTTCTCACACCTTCTTATAAGTGGGTTTTACATACAATATATATTGTCTGTTTATAATTATCCAAACACAATAATAATGTAAATTTTTGCCAATTCTTCTGCTCTTTCACAGACACCAGAAGATCAGTATTGACACATTCCGTCCAAAGAAGCACACAATAGCCTCCCGGGTGGTTTTCTTAGTGTTTATTACTGAAGTTCCCATGCATATTAATTGATTTTTAAGGCTCATATTCCCACATGTTCACACTACACACATCGAAGCTTGGCCACTGATATAATACATCCAGGTATATACATTGAATATTCACATCCGCATCCAACCCCCAAACCTGCAGGACCCCATCATCAGGCTCTTACCTTCTTCCCACCAACAGGGGACATTCATTAATTTATTTATTTTTCTCCCTAAAAGGAATAAGACACATGGCAAGGCACCCATATTTAGGGATACTGATTGAAATATCCATCCTTACTCTCCCCACACCCTTCTTAACATTTAGAAACTAAGCATATTCTGCTTTTTAACCCATTTGACGTCAGAGAGTATGATAACGCCTTTTGATACCTGGAACAAGGTGGATAATACCAATTTGTGTTCTGTGTTACTTATTGTTACCATAACAAAATATGTGCAAATTATTTGATACCCCCCCATTAACCCTCCTAATTGGTTTACTGACTTGGCATTCATGCTCTGTGGACAGAAGCAAATACTAAATAAATGTGCAGTGCAAAACAATGGTTCAGACGTTGGTTCACTTCCTCGGCGTCACCAGCCACAAAAAATATATACAGATTAAATGAACACCGAGCTTTTCGGAATAGTTGTATGAAGATGTAGAAGATACAATATGGAGCAGTAGAGGGAAGATTAAATGTAAGGAACTGAATAAATCGGTCCGTTTACATGATATAACATCCTTTTCTCTCATACTTTGTATCTTCCCATTTTTTGTATATAATATACAGTTTCAGTTTATTTATTTATTTTTATTTTGTTTTTTCCATTATTGAACATGTCTGGAATAAAGTTATCAAAATGAAAGGTAATCTGAAATTGTAGGTATTACCAAGTGGAGGTATTTAAGCGTATGTATAGAAACAGGAAGCAAATGTAGGATCAAGATTGTATAGAATTTAAGACACTTTGTTGTGCTATCTCAAGTGAATACCAGTATTACCTAGGCTTCAATAGAAAGGTGGAGATAAGTTATGATACATCAAATCTGAATTTCTCATTAGCCGACCAAGGTAGCTGCCTAGAGCCCTCATTCAGTCCACCAAGGCAGCTTCCCAGGGCTCTGATTCACACATGGACCTGCTGGGCCCCTATCTAGGCCTTGAGCTGTGGCCCTCCGGAAGCTGACAGGGAGATCAAAAGCTACCTTAATTTTTGTTGAAGGAGCATTGTGGTCTGAAATCCGTACAAATGATGGACCTCCCCCATGGACCACCAGGGATCCTTCTCACCCTCCACCGGATCACCAAGGAATCCTGCTCACTCTCCACCGGACCACCAGGGATTCTGTTCACGCTCCACTGGACCACCAGGTAAGGTAAGTGAAGTGGGGCTCTATAAATATATATACACACACACTCGGCATCTAACTACAGCTCTCTACCTCCTTCACATACACAACACTTAGCCACTACACACTCTCACACTCAGTCACTCTCTTAGCAGGGGCTCCCCAATCTGATACCCTGTCTAGGGCCATGTGTAACCTGAATACAGTTCTGTGATACTTAATGTACTGGGAGCAATATCTACGCCCCTCTTTATCACCATTAAAATGAACATGCTAGTGAGTAAACACTCTGTGTTATGCACTGTTATTGGGTTTGCATGAATGCAAATCTACATTTTAGCAATTCATGGGAAAAGAAATGTACATTTTGAACTTTTTCATGTTGCACCTAGTAGTCTGATGTAAATATTGCCTACTGGGATACCTAACTGTGTTCCTGATCACTAATCAAGGAATGATTTGTCCTATGAAAAAAAACAGGGGGCATTAGAGCATTATGCTCTATATATGAATCAACAGCTGGAAAAGCTACAAGCAGCTGCTGTAATATAATATAGTAGGCAGAGGTATTGTGAATGAATATATAGAGAAATATTGATTAATACAGGAAACCACAAAGCTACTGAAAGACACGTGGAATAAGATAAATATTATTTGGTGTAACAAGTATGACTCGGTGATATTTAAGCAAGGTGAGACATCGGGCTAATCTTTCTAATGCCCCATTCATGCAAATCATATCACACACAAATATGAAGAACACTCATTAAATCATGCTATTAGCATTTATTACCAGATTCTTTCTTTTTCCTCACCCCTAAGGCCTAAGTCAGGGTGAGTTTATTCTTCAACCAAAGCGTGATAATCTTCATTGTAATGAATCTTTACAGTTCAAACAGATGGCAGGTAATTGGGCCACAAATTACTGGTTCATAGTAGTGATGGGAGCCACTTAAAGTCGACCTGTCACCTGTATATCTTTTAGCATCTTTAAACCTATTTGTAGCTAGTACTTCTTATTTTCAGTCTGTGAAATGGTTTAAGATATATTTTATTTAAAGCGACACTACTGTCACCAACTTTAGCCTAAGGAAGCAGTTTTAGTGTATAGATCATGATCCTGCAATCTCACTGCTCATCTCTGCAATTTAGGCGTTAAATCCCTTCTGTTTCTGTCCATGCAGCCCTAGTCACACCTCCCCGTGCTGTGACTCATACACCATGCATGGAAAAAAATGGTTTCACTTTCAATTAGATGTAACGTACTTTAAAAGTTCTTATTGCCTGCTCTCTAAAGTGAACTTTAATCATACACAGAATGCTTCTGTGGGGTCTAGCAAGCTATCAACAATGCAGGGGATAATCAATTTTAAATTAAATAGAATGTGCAATGAAGAAAGTGTAAACATTAGCTGACTCTTTACAGGAAGTGTTTAGGAAGGCTGTGCAAGTCACATGCAGGGAGGTGTAACTAGGGCGCATAAGTAAAGTGATTTAACTCCTAAATGGCAGAGAATTGAGCAGTGACACTGCAGGTAAATGATCTATACACCAAAACTGCTTCAAAGAGCTAAAGTTGTTTTGGTGACTATAGTGTCCCTTTAATAGTTTTTAGGGATATTTTATCTTATCAGAACTGTTTTCAGTATTAAAACCAATATGGCTGAAACTATCTCCTTATCTGCTTCCACACCTATCAGACTGCTAGAATCTGCATCCACTAAGGACGAGGTACACTAGGAAGGCATGACCTTGGCATTCCTGTGAAAAGTAACCACAATGGCTGCTCCCACTGCTATTTAAATAACATGAATTTCCCATATAAATATGGATTTGTATAAGCAAATACCATTACATGGGTTTATTAATTTACTGGATTGTAAAGTGTAAGCCTGCATAAAAAGGTACATTTTAACCTGCATAGAAGGGGTTTACTAATCACATATTCCAAAATACTGAATTTACAAATCCTTACGATTATCCACCTTGCTCCAGATATTCCTCCTAGATACTGCTAAGTAACCATTCCTTATCATTCATTTTCACGTTAGTCTACTCGAACCATGGTTTCCAAAATCTGTTCTTAAATTCCACTAAAATCTCAGGTTTTTGAGGATATTTTTTGTATTTTTTTCGGAAGTGAACAAGTCCTTCATTTATGTAGCTGACTTGAACTCACTTAAAGGGCACACATCTATCAGAATTCAATGATAGGCAGTGGACCTGCTATACTGAATTTCCCCTATAACTTCCCTTTATAACCTGGTATAAAACTTTCTCACTTGCTAAACTACTTTCTGAATTCACCTACCACAATTGTCCATGTCCGTTCTCTGTTGCCATTTTCTCTTATTTGTTTACATTCCGTAGATCTTTTAACTTCCCAACCACTTGTTTGTTTTCTGTTGTGTTTTGTTTTTTAGATATTTCTCATCTCCTGATACTTTCGTTGTTGATGGTGTTGTGTTTTTTTTTTGTTTTTTGTTTTTTAAATAGTACATTACATTTCCATACTGGAACAGTAGTTTGAAGCTACCCCACAATTTTGTAGTATTTAACTGATGCCAACATTGGCGGTGTCCATACACAATGACTCTGGAATTTTGGGATTTGTTAAAATAACTTACCCATTACCAAGAATTTATAAGTACCCAGGGCATTAAACATCGCCAGGCATTGTGCAGCAGGATTTACTCATTATACCCTGTTTTTACTCCCAAAAAAACTAAAGGGGTTAGCAAAACATTTGGTTTTCCAAAAAACATGAATGTACATAAACCCCAAACGCCATGTGAGACAAAACGGAGGAGGCCAGTACACTCATTGTCACCTTGACCCCTGCAATGGAGGTACCCTGGCAGTTGATGGGGTCGATTACAGCTCCCTTTAGGTTTTGGGTCCATTGGATGGCTTCTGCAAAGAATCAAAAGATAATATTAATTTTTGTTATTGTTTTTTTTGGTGCAGTGCCATTGCACATTGTACTGTGAATCTCCACGGGATGTGTACTAAGGGCTTTAGCTGCTCACATGCAATCATATGTTATGCACTATTGTGTGCTTTGTGGAAATATGCAGTGGTCCTTGCCTGGCAGTGGTGAATTGTGGCCTGCAGCTTGAATGCTAATAATATTTCAAGTTTTAAGTATATAGGCAACAGAAATGTGCGCCATCGGTATGGCTATAAAAAGATGGCAAGGCACATCACCCAAGATTAAAATGGTTATTGGATCGGGGAACATCCAGCTGTGCACACTTAGATGGACAGCTTATGGAGAAGAATGCACAGCAGAATCAGAAAGGCAAGCAGGATAAAGGAAGGCCTCTGGAGCACAAAGGTATAATGAACATAGAGATTCTCAAAGCCATCAAGAGTTGGCAATAGACTGAACACTGTACATACTGACTCCTACCACCATGCCCACTTTAAATCACTGAAGTGGTCATTGTGGTTGGAGTAACCAAAGTCATGGAAGTGTGAAATGTATTTGGGATATGTAGGTGCAGACATAGGGCCAGGAATTTAATAAATTTACCTATGACATTGTCGATTATAGAGAAACTGCTCTACCAGAATGCCTCTATTCAAGCTGCCAACATCCTTGCAATGGTGACCAATTAGGCTATTTGCTAGGATCGGTGAAATAGACGATCAGACTAGAAAACTGAAGAGGGACAATATAATACCAACCTTATGTTGACCTCTGCCTATTGAGGAGCTGCCTGCTGTCATCGACCTCTGGTCACGCACTCTCTTGTGCAGAACTGGGAGGCTAGAAGCTGTAGGCTTAACAGGACATTTCTGCTGTGGTTCTGAACACATCTCTTGAGTTGCAGGGAATATCTTGCTGGAAAGCTTGGTACTACTACTTTTTTTATTGCCTTCTGAGTGACCCTGGAATTTTCGGACAGATGCCCTTGTTGTGGTTTGTTGTCCTGAGGATTGGGCTCTGCTCTGTGGATTCTTGAAGACAGTAGAGGTGGTTTTCAGTGGGAAACTTGGTGCAAGCTGTGGTGTGGTAGCCACATTGGAAGACCCTTTGAGATCAGTAAATGTGTCAGCTATTTGCTCTTCTTCCTTGTCTTGTGTGCAGCCTTCAAACATGCTCTCAAACTCTCTATCATCTTGTGCTAGTATCTCCGGTGTAGTAGCACGGACAGGTCCATTAAGCTCCCCACAGTCACTGTCATGGGAAGAAATGGACAGGTAAGAGTAAAAGTCTCCTCTCTCCAGCTGCCTGCGGGAATGTTCCAATACCTTCTCTCTGATTTGTGCTCCTGTGCCACTACTCAGCCCATCCTTTGGAGGTGACCCATGAAGTGCAGTTGATGTCATGTCCAGAATCTCCTTCACAAACTCGTGTACTGTGCAGTCTGGACTGTTTGTCCTCTCATTAGTAGAACCATGGCATGAACAAGATGACTCCGGTGTTTCTTCTGTTAGCTGGTGACAAGGCTCTGGTTTGGTTTTTTCAGATGTCATGCAACTATTATCTGGCATGTCTACATCTGCAACAGCATCACATGTTATTCGCATATTGCTCTTCTGATTGCAGGTGGGTCCAAGTTCACGGGGTTTATGATATGCCAAAGCGGGCATGCTGGGAGGGTGGAGTTTCTCGGTCTTGGTTATTGATAACCATGGATAAGGTCCATTTTTTTTCTTTACAGGGTGGTTTACTGTACTTACATTGTCCTTCATGGCGCTCAGTCTATTGTTAACATTTCCATTTTCCAAGTCATCAACTTGATGACTTGAGTTATTTACAGTCTCTTCTTCATTTGTCAAACATTTACTTGTATCTTCCTCATTTGCATATTTCTCATTTCCATTATTTTCTTGTTCTCTGTTCAGTGAACTCTTCCAGATCTTGTCAACTTTTGGTGTTCCTGTTATGTCCTGTACTACTCTATTCATTTTTCTTCTTTCTCTGGGCAACAAATAGGTAGGTCTAATCCATGCTTGCAGCTCACGCCTGATAAAATCGGACCCTAAGGGAAGTCCTATACCATCCCCAGTTTCGTCTTCACTTCCAAGACTTCTATTGAGTTCGTCAAGTTCCTCCTCTTCTTCTTCTTCCTCTTCTGTTAAGGTTAGTGTAGAGCTAGACAGAAGGTCACTGTCATCTTCTTCATCTGTGCAGGCTGAAGTACATGATACATTCACAATCATACTGAGATTTGCCTCTCTTTCATCCCCAGCTAGAGAACGACTCAAGTGCTTGCGAAAGCTAGCATTGGAATCCATCAGTCTGCCTTTTAGTACTACAAGATCTTCTGACTTTAGCGATAGCTCCTCACTGCTGCTCAACTCTGTTAGTTCAGAGCCAAGATCTTCATTTTCTGATTTCACTTTCTCCGCTTGAGAGCGGATCCCTGGCAGAGATGTCTCATGAGAGCCACTCCTTAGGGTAATGTCATCAGATAGACTACGTTTCATCTTCTGCTCAGCTGGACATTCAATATCTTCCAACCTTTTCAGTAAGTCTAATGTACGTTTGCTCAGCTCTTCTCTGGGCTCACTCCCAGGAGTGATATCTGCAGAGCCCTGTTGACTGAACAAGTCTTCATTGCTTTTGTAAGAGGCTGGCCAACTCTCCAGAGATACACTGCGCCTCAGTGCTGTAGGCTCTGCTTCCAGCACTTCACAAGTCACTGAGAGGGATTCCAAAGAAGAAGAGTTGTGAGAAGAATTCTGAGGGCTCAGTACCTCAATTAGGTCTTGAAAGTCAACGTTATCTTCTGGGCTATGGTCTTCAGAGCTAACAGGAAGCATAGTCCTGTTCATACCAATTTGACCAGGTGTCCTTGAAAAATAAAAGCCTGGAATGGACCTTTGTGTTTTTCCTAGAGTCATCTGTTTAAGTTTCTCTGCTTGCAATAGGGAGCAATCATATAATGCAAAAGGGTAATGATGCTTTGATCTGGAATACGGAGCTGGTGGAGCATCAGTATCTATTTGCTGTATGTCCTCGACTTGCCCTTGACCACTTTGCATTCCCTCCCCATCCAATGATAAGCATCCCTCTGAATTTGCCGCAGTCACTCCTTCTCCTCCGCTTGCAATTCCACTTTCACTCTCTGAATGGCCACTAGAACTCCCCAGGATTTTTGTGGACTGGTAATGGTTTGGTTGATGAGATCCATTTGCTAAATCTGGCAAAGATGAAAAGGTGCTACCCTGTAATAGAGAAATGGGAAGTGGAGCTAGTGGCCCTAACTTTTGGTCTTTTCTTAGGGAGGAATCCATGTTTGGTGAGAAGAGTTCTATATTATGCAAGCTATAGACTTGATATACTGAAGATTGGAGATGGCGTGGATACATGGGGCCACCTTGGCCTGAATAACATGTTTCATATGCTGAAGGAGTATCTGC